CTCAGCCTCCCGAGTAGCTGGGACTACAGGCATGTACCACCATGCCCGGCTAATTTTTTCTGTACATTTTTAGTTGTGCGATTAATTTCTTTCTATTTTTAGTAGAGACGGGGTCTCGCTCTTGCTCAGGCTGGTCTGGAACTCCTGAGCTCAAACAATCGCCTGCCTCGGCCTCCCAGAGAGCTAGGATAACAGGCATGAGCCACCGCGCCCGGCCCTCATGGAACTTCTTCGGGCTATAACAGGGTGACACTTTTCATACCCATTCCTACTTTCATCAGTACCCAGGGTATTGCTTTTAAAATGTATTAAAAACTTTAGACCTTATTTCCAAAAGCAAAACCTCCATTACAACAGAAAAGTCAAATGAGGACAAATAAACCAGTCAATGGTCCAAACTAGTCTCTGAGGTCTGATCTTAAACACTTCCTTCAGGGAAGATGTTACTGCCACCAAGCAAAAACCAAGTCTAGGCCTTTTTGTTATGACAAGGGGACTGTTCATCATCTGTGGCCAATGTATATTGTTCTTGCTCTACAGTTCTGTCTTTCTCTCCTCAATAAACCTCGTTTCATGCTTACCTTGATTTCAGTGTATTCGATCATTCTTTGGCCAAGAGCACACCAAGAACCGACATTTCAGACCGCTGACCTGACAAACACACTGAGGTGCTGAAGAAGGTAGCATGCCTGGAGAGGGCAGGAAAGCTCTGGGACCCTCAACCATACATTGCCCTATGTATCCCTTCCATGTGGCTATTCATTTGTATCCTTTCCAACAGCCTTTATAATAAACCAGCAAATGTAAAAAAAAACAAAAAACAAAAAAAACAAAAAAATCCCAAGTCTACGTCATACCATCCCAATAGCTTACTCTCTCTGAGGCTCTTATCACATCAGTAATTGCTCAATGTCCATTTTCCCCAGTGGACTGAGTATCATGTGCACAGAGACGATAATTGTTCTTGCTGTAAGCTGGAGTTACAAGTAGATTAAACTCTTAAAACATTCATAGATCGACCACTTAATAACTGAATCCTGCCTCTGCTGGGCAGCCAATAACTAGGGCTCACAACTTCAACAGTGAAGCATTTGATGTGTCCCAAAACTCATGCCAGGTCTAGTGGGGTGACACAGGTTTAGGAGGAAAACCTAGTCTGGCCAATTCAGGCCAAAACTGGACCAGCTTACAAAGAGGGTTTTGGGCCGGGTGTGGTGGCTCATGCCTATAATTCTAGCACTTTGGGAGGCAGAGGAGGGAGGATCACTTGAGGCCAGGAGTTCAAGATCAGCCTATGCAACATAGTGAGACCTTGTCTTATAAAAAATACAAAAAATAGCGAGGCATTGTGGTGCATATCTATAGTCCCAGCTACTTGGAAGGCTGAGACAGGAGGATCCCTTCAGGAGTTGCAATGAGCTATGATGATGCCACTGCACTCTAGCCCAGGAAAACAGAGTGAGAACCTGTCCCTCCCTGCTTTTCCCCCTCCAAAAAAGGGTTTTGACCTACTCAGACAGAAAGTAATGAGATGCACCACAGATGTACCTACAGAGCATCAGTTATACCAGAAGGGTTCTTAGAGTAGTGCATCTGTCTGGGCTGAAAGATTCAAATGGCCCATCTTCTGTAATGCAACACTAATGGTAGCAAGTCCCAGAACCTGGGGCTCTCAGTTTCTCAAATGTGCTCCTGACTTTGCTTTTCCTTTTGGAGGGATGAACAGACTAATATTAAAGATTAAGAGAAAGGAATTATATCTGGACACAGCAGGGCAAATAATTTACATTCACATTTATCATTCCTGTTGCTGATGTTTTCTCCTTAGCATACTCTCCTTCCATCTCTCACTCCTTACTACCCATACCTTCCTACAAAAAGCCAAGTCCCTCCCCCTTCTTTTTTTTTTTTTTATAACAGTGAAATTCAAGCCTCCTAGGTTCAGCCTTATGCATATAGACTACACCCTTAGACCAGAGGCTGGCAAACTATAACCTGCAGGGCAATTCTAGCATGGGCCCTTTTTTTTTTTTTTCAATTTTTAAATTTTTCATAGGGAACAGTTCCCCTATGTTGCCCAGGCTGGTCTTGAACTCCTGGCCTCAAGTGATTCTCCCACCTCAGCCTCCCAAAATGCTGGGATTACAGACATGAGTCACTGTGCCTGGCCAGGGCCCTGTTTTTGTAAATAAAGTTTTAGTGAAACACAGCCACAACCACTTGTTTATAGATTGCCTATGGGCCGGATGCAGTGGCTCATGTCTGTAATCCTAGCACTCTGGGAGGCCGAGGCAGGAGGATCACTTGAACTCAGGCGTTCGAGACCAACCTGAGCAAGAACAAGACCCCGTCTTTACTAAAAATAGAAAAATTAGCTGGGCATGGTGGCACATGCCTGTAGTCCCAGCTACTCGGGAGGCTGAAGTAGGAGGATCTCTTGAGCCCAGGAGTTTGAGGTTGCAGTGAGCTAGGCTGACGCCACAGCACTCTAGCTCAGGCAACAGAGCAAGACTCTGTCTCAAAAGAAAAAAAAAAAAAATAGATTGCCTATTGCGGTTTCTCATTACAGCAACAGAGTTGAATAGCTGTGACAGAGATGATCTGGCCTATAAAGCCTAAAATGTTGAATCTCTGGCCCTTTACAGGAAAGTTTATAGATTCCTGCCTTACACCATTAAGATGATCTTCTAAATAATCAGTTCTCTTCCTAAGTAACATTCTTCCCTTAAGACATCTGCAATGTGAAATTCTTAGTACTGTAACATGTTACCTTAAGGAATTATTTTTAAAAGTTATAATACGTTCATAGGCTATATAGTTCTTTTATCTACAAACAATTTTTTTTTAAAGCTCAATTTTGAAGCAAATCCTGTGAAATTGCAGTAGTAATGATGGTGGGGAAATCGGGAAAGATTTGAAAGAGGGCAGATACCCCTTTGGAGAGTTTTAGCTATGGAGGAGAGAAGAGCTGGGGCAGTGGCTAGAGAGGAATGGTAATCCTTACTATGCCAACTTGTTGTGATCACAAAGTATGAAGCATCAAGTACCCAGTAGGCACTCAGAAAAAGAGTTGTCACATTCTCCCCACAACCCCTGTAACAACAAGGAAGACAGAAGAGGATTTTTGAAGGTCTAATGAGTAGTAAACCAACATACAGAAATAAGTTCAGCCTCAGCAGTTACCAAAAAAAACAAGAAATAATGAGATGCTATTTTCATTGTTTAGATTAGGACAATTTAAAATATCATAGCACTCACACAATCTACGGTTTAAAGGTCACTGCCACCTACCCGAGCACACTAATAGCAGTCAGTGTTCCGGGGCTCACTGTAGCACTAGTGTCCATTTCAGAGTCACCTCAGATGGACACACACCAACGCATTCTCTCCCTTCTACCAGTAGCCCCGCCCCCAACCATTTTGGGGAAAAAAATTTTTTAAAATCACATTGAAAAAAAGTTTATTTAAAAAAGTTCTAGCAGCAAGAACAGTAACAAAACAAAAGGAGAGACAGACAAACAAAACAAGAAGAGGGTGTGTCCTGCGGGACTTGTCTCCATTCTTAATCGAGTTCTTTATACCGAGCAAACATGACTCTTCGAACAGCATCTCGGTAAGTCTCATTAGACTGTCTCTTGCTGGTTCTTCCTGGGGCCCCAATGCTGGGGCCCCTCATCCGGCCTTCAGTCTGCAAATCAGAGACAAACAGTGAAGTGGGCCCTATGAATTCATTAGCTTCAGGGCTGGTCTTTCGCCACAAGCATTTCTGGATCAATAAGGAGCAGGATACAGGAGAATTTTTTAGAATCTTTCATTATTAAACAAATACCCAAGATGAATAAGGAGAGTGGTGATACCATGATTGTAGGATACAGGCTTCAATATCAGAGATATAAGAAGCTCTGTAGGAGATAAGACAATCTCTTATGGTTGGCATTTTCAGAGGAGAATCAAGCCAACATAAAATGAGCAATGTTCCCTCTTACCACCTTTTCTAGAGGCTGTTCCTCAAATATGAGGGGCAAAGTCCCAGGACTAACCACATGCTCCCCAAATTTTAGCCATCAAAGATCTCTGCTGATAATCCTTCTCAGAGATGCCTTTGTACCTTTCATTGCTAGTTATCTGAATCTTTTTATCAAATGATTCTTCAGTCTCAAACTGTTTGATTGCCATACTGCTCCACTGTTTATTCCTTATAAGAGTATGATGAACCCCATTCCGACTTCTTTCCTTCCCAACACCACTCAAACCACAAAGAGCCCAGCATGCCAGTAATCAAGAACAAAGGGTTCCTCAGCTTCCATGTCCTATGGAAGTAGGACAGTCCTATGGAAGTAGCATAGTGTCCTATGCTAGCAGTAGAGAAATCCCACCTAAAAGACAAGGACACCACTCTAGGACGGAAAGTGAAAGTTAAGTATGTTTTAGGTTTGTGTCACCCGCAACAAGATGGAAACCATTTCACCTCCTCTGAAGAAGCCAATCCAGGATGGCCATATCCTAGGCCTGTCCCTTTCTTCCAGCCAGTGGCCTGTTGGATACAGCCCCCTTTGCTGCTGGTGTCGATATCTTCTTTATCAACAGGTTTACGATCACTGCAAAAGAAGCAGACCCATCACTTTCAAGGTGCCCTGCTTGTGAGCCTAATTAAAATCTGTCTTCTTGATTTACATCTATCTCCTATAAAGCATATTCAACAATACTTCTGAGTACCTGCTAGCTAGGTACCAGCCTTTGTCCTGGGGATACAGAGATGACCAAGATTTGGCTGTGTTTATGAGGAAGGATTTGAGAATTATGTCAACAGATGCTTGTAGAAAACTGAAGAGCTCAACCACAGATCTGGGAACAGTGGATATTTGTCATAGATATACAGTAGAGGGACCATAAACTCTGAAGGGGTATTACTGAAAATGACAGGAATTTCAACAGGAAGGTACCTGAATTGGGTCTTGATAAATGAGGAGTTAAGTCAACTAGAAAAAACGTGAGAGAAAAGGAGGACACAAGCAAGAAATGAAAGAATATAAAACACAAAATTTGTCCAGGAGAGGAGTGGTATGAATTGATGGATTAATGCTGTTATTGTGGGAGTAAAGGTTAGTTATCTCAGAGTGGGTTCCTGATAAAAGGATGAGACTGACCCCCTTCCCCCAACTCCGTCTCACTCAAGTTCTCCTGCTTTTTCCACCTTCCACCATGAGATGACACAGCAAGAAGGCCCTCACCAGCTGAAGCACCTTGGACTTCCCAGCCTCCTGAACGATAAGCCAAATACATTTCAGTTCATTATATAAATTACCCAGTCTGTGGTATTGTTGTGGGTGTCATTACAAAACAGACTAAGACAGGGGGCAAGACTTAATTAGGGATTTGACCACTAATTAGATATAAGGGATAAAGGAAGAAGACTAGGTTGGGTAGGCAGTGATGCTACAATGTTGCTACTCTGAAACAGGAATACAGGAAGTTTAGTAGGACTGGACTGGAGTATAATGTGGAATGTAATAAGGAATAATTACTCAGTATGAGGAGCATGAGAAGTGTCCAAGAGTACATGTCCAGGAGGCAAATGGAAATAGCAATTTTGAGCTCAGAAAACAGAACTGATTTGAGATGGAGCCACAGGACCTTTTAGCCCATTGGTGGTGGCTGATGCCCTTGGGTACCTTAGAAAACCTAGGTCAAGTGGGTAGAGCAGCAAGAATAAAGGAGCACTGAGAGAAAAGTCCTGGAGAACACTGAGATTTACCCAGAAAAGGAAGAGGAGCAGGAAAGACAACTGAGAAGGAGAGCCAGGAGAATGTGGTATGAAAGGTGCTGAGAATAGAGGAAGGTCTCTTTCTGTACCCTGCCTAGCCTGATCCCAACTGACTCAGGGCTAAGGTGTCCTTCCTCCTAGTGGCTGACTCTTTCACCTTTGTCCTACTCCACTGTTATTTCAAATTGCAGAAAATGACCCAATGGGGTGCCACATTGATTAAGTGGTCCCACCCTAACACTTCTTCAAAATGAAAACAGAATATACTGGAATAGAAATGTCAGAGTGTATGCACACAGTAAGGAAGTATTCTTTTTCAGTTGAGTACTTCTTTTTCAGTTAAACACACACTCTTTATTATTGGGCCATGATACAAAAATGTATCTCTTATTGTGGGTTGTGATCCAATAAGTAAGAATGCCAGAGCCACAGACTCTGTCCTGCCTCCTCAGGGGCCTTGCTCTGTCAATCATCTATCTCCCTTTTCCCATGGTCATAACCTCCTTTGGCTACTGGTTCTTTTGCTTACCAACATACAGACCTGCACAACTCTCTCGTTATAAATGACTACGTCTCCTCCTGCTAGTGTACCCTTTTGTCACCCTTTTAACCCTTTCAAGGCCTTTACTGCCCCTTTTCCTCTCAGCTGCCCAATAGAAACCTGTGCATCATCAGTGACTTTTCCCTCTCTCCAGACAACCAGTCAATCACAAAGACTGTCTCTCTCTTTTTTTTCTTTGAGACAGAGTCTGGCTCTGTTGCCCAGGCTAGACTGCCATGGCGTCAGCCTAGCTCACAGCAACCTCAAACTCCTGGGCTCAAGTGATCCTCCTGCCTCAGCCTCCCAAGTATCTGGGACTACAGGCGCTTGTCACCATGCCCAGCTAATTTTTTGTTTCTATTTTAGTTGGCCAGCTAATTTTTTCTATTTTTAGTAGAGACAGGGGTCTCACTCTTGGTCAGGCTGGTCTTAAACTCCTGACTTCAAGCGATCATCCCACCTTGGCCTTCCAGAGTACTAGGATTATAAGCGTGAGCCACCACAACCCAGCCCCAAAGACTCTCTCTAATCTACTCACCTTTGCATACTCATGGCCTTCTCTTGGGTAACTGCGATCTCTCACTTGAATCACAACAGAAGTTGCGTCATTACTTCTCTACAAACTTGTCTTCACGTTATTAGTAATTTCTCCAGAACACAAAGCTAGATCAATACCCTGCTTAAAATCATTCCATAACCTCACACCGCCTTTAAGATAAAGCCTTAGCATGGTGTTCAAGGAATATGAACATCGTGAACTGGCCTCCATCTGTTGGATCAGCTTTATCTCCTGTAACTCAATAATATAGCCCCAATGTTCAGCATGCCAAGCTAATTGAAATTCCTAAATCATGAGCTCTCTTTCATCCTTAGTGTTCCCTCCTCTTCCCCACTAATTTCTGTGTCTGCCCTATTGGACACATCATTACTTACACATTCTGTGTTCAGTCAAGGATAATATATGTCTTGTTCACTGAAGCATTCTTTGAACTTAGTGCAGTACCTGTTGATAAGTGAGTTATCAACACATTCTACATAACTCTGGGCTTACACCTTGAGAAACATCTGACTGGAAACAAGTACAGGAAGGCAGAGATCATACATCTCCATCAATAGCCAACCATGTATTTATTTAGCACCTACGTTGTGAAAATGCACATTCCCTAGAGAAAAAGCCTGAGTGTGACATTCTTATAAGGCCCATACGGAGGGTACAGCATTACTGATGAAGAGAGACAGCGATTCTGACCATGGCCACTCTAGCCCTGGCTTTGAGCAGCTGAAGCAGCCAGGCAACCTTCCATGTAAACAGACATTCCCTGTATAAAGACAGATGGTCAAAAAGCTGGGGTGGACCTCATGCTCAAGGAGTTCAGGTACAATCTACTCTGATAACTTCACCTCCCTGAGAGAGAAAATACTAGCACAGCTGGAGAAGGTGATGGTTTTACCATTAGGCCTAGAGGCCTAGGCTGAATAAAGAATTCCTTGCTTACCTGTCAGTTTCCCTGGAGTATTTAATCCGTTTTCTTTCCGGAGAGTCAAAAGACTGGAGCTTTTCCCTGCGATCATTTCCTCTTTCTTTAAATTTTCCCTGTTGGTAAGCACAAGAGCAGACCTGAAATTTCCACCTGAGGGAACTGGGGAGTGGGGAAGCTTTACCCATTCCTGATATTTCTTTTAATGTGAAGGTAGTCAACTGGTAACTACTAGAATCTCAAACTCCTTCACATATTCTTCTAGAGAAAGCAGTGACTTCTCTGACTGGAAAATTTGGAAAAAATAAGCTGGCATGCTTGGCTCAGCTGTCTTTATCCCTTCTGAGAAGCAGGTGATCTCCAATAGGTGGATTCTTAACCATCACATAAGAGAAGCCAGTGATGCCTGTAACTGGGTAGGTGAGTCAGCCTAATTGTATGGTCGAGGTAGCAAGTCTATGTGCCTCTCACACTAAGCTACACCCTCCAGCTTAGCCTTTAACAGTAAAAGATGCTATTTCAGCAGTCCTATTCAATACTCCAACTTCTAAACTGATTTAAAAGTTGAATAGAAAAGAGGAGTGCTACTTATTTGACCTCCCTGGAGACTCTAACAACACCTTTTTAAAAAATATCAACTTGCTGGGTACAGTGGCATGTGCCTATAATCCTGGCTACTTGGAAGGCTGAGGCAGGAGAATTGTTTAGTACAGGAGTTCAAGACCAGCCTGGGCAACACAGCAAGACCCCGTTTCAAAAAACAAACAATAAGAATATGCTATGGAGAAAAGAACTGGCAGGGAAGGAAATTCTGGGGCTGGGAGAGGGGGTGATGAAATCAACTTTATTGAGGTATAACTTATCAACAGTAAAAACAATCCATTTTAAGGTATAATTTGATGAGGTGTGCCAATTTCCTGGTTTAGATATGTGTACTATAGTCATACACATACAAAATATCAACATTGAGGGAGGCTGGGCAAAACATACACAAGACTTATCTATACATTTCTTTGCAACTTCTATGAATCCATAATTTTTCCAAAAAGTAAAAAAACATTTTTTTTAAATTGAGTCTCACTCTGCTGCCCAGGCTAGAGTGCAGTGGTGTCCTCATAGCTCACTGTAACCTCCAACTCCTGGGCTCAAGGGATCCTCCCACCTCAGCCTCCTGAGTAGCTGGGACTATAGGCGCGTGCCACCCGGCTAATTTTTATTTTATTTTATTTTTTGTAAGGACGGGGTCTTGATATTGTCCAGGCTGGTCTTGAATCCTGGCCTCAAGCAATCCTGCCTTGGCCTTTCAAAGTGCTAAGATTATAGGCATAAGGCACCATGCCCAGCCAAGTTTTGACAAACATATACACCATCTCCTGGGGCCTCTTCACTCTCTTGTCTTCTTGTAAGGAGGGATCAGCACAGCCTATAAAGTCTACACCAGAAAACAAAAAGAGTTGGGGGTCAAAGGAGTAACCGTCACCGAAGTTTACCTCCCGTTCTCTCCTCTCCAGATAGGCCAGCTCCTGTTCAGACTGTTTTATCTTCCGGTGGATTTCCAGGTTTTGCTGAGAAGAGAGGGAACTCTATGAGTATAGGTCTAGAAAAAAATGGTCCTAGAAATGCCTCTAGGCCTTTCCCAATAGCTGCTTTAGGACTGTAGCTCTTTTGACTGATCAACTCTTCTAAATGACTACTGTACCCTGCAAGCAACAATCCCTATAACTGGTCTTGCCTTAGTCTCTGTCTCATCAATGGGAACCCAGATTCTGATGCAGTCTTGTAACATAGATTAGTTATATGGTGTGGCACAAGAGGAAATGTCATTCTACTTTTCTCCAAAATGTGGAATACAAAAATCTGGTATATTTCTTTATTTAAGGTGAAAATTATGGGAGAGAGGATCTGAGCACAGCAGTGAAGAAAACCAAATGCCCATACACCCTGCCCACCACCACCAATCACCCACTCTTTCAACCCCCCAGAGAAATATAAAAAGGAGCCCCAGGGTCTTGAAAGAACCAAAAGATTGCTCTGAAAGTCCCATAGTCTTTAAGCATGGCTCTACTACATAAGCTCTCAGGCACATAAATGAAACTTAAAGAGTCTAAAGCAGTCTTTATATGGAGAGGTAGTTCTTTGTACTGGAAGACCCAAGAAAACGAAAAGTACTACAGTCTACTTTCCATTGTCCTAGGGTCAGTTCAGTTTGTGGGTTTACCAGACCTGTGGCTTCTCTTTCCTGACAACTATTAATATTTTTCCTCTCTTTAGCCATTTATTAGTGTCTACTCCAGAGAGCTGAAATATCAAATGTGTCAGTCTGATGACTTGGAATTCCAGAAGGTCAAAGGGATGTGGGAGGTAATCTGTTCTAGGATAGTCAGGAAGTTTCTCATAGTCCTAGAAGCTTTGTAGAACCTCTGTAGAGGTGGCTGGGAAAAGTAGTGTACCTACTACCAAAAGCAGAATGTTTCAGCTTTTAGCTAAGTAAGACTTTGGGTTCTGTGCTGAGATAAAGTCTAAATCCAGTCCTATCGACTGCTCTTACAACGTCTGCTAGAGAAGGAGTGTAAAACAAATTAATCTGAGAACATGAGTCCATTCTAAGGGCTTTATTTGTCTGTAATTTGGCTCATTGGTCAGTACATATAAATAGGAAGACTGTAGGGGAGGACTAATGTATTTCAGTTTAACACCCTGAGAATATCTGTTATGCTATGGCTTATAGCAATACTCACTATATGAAGAGATGGTAGAATTTGACTCACCTATAGTGAAAACCGCGCATTGTCAGAGCTGGATAGAATCAGGTGAAGCTATCAAGTACCAAAGAAGAGAATGGGCTTATCTGAGGTCCAGTTGTTAGGCTAATGGCAGAACTAAGATGAGAAACTCAGCAAGTAAGCTTCCTACTCCACAGCTCTTTCTCTTCCTGCACATCCTCTATATTTGGTGCCCTAAACAAAGCCATGCTGCTTGCCCTTGGGTTTACGCACTGAAGTTCTTCAAAGGTGGGCACAACCTTATTTCAGAGCAATTCATTCTAGAATTAGACTGATTTAATGATAGGAACAGGGGCTGACATATGCTCAGGAAGGACGGTATAAGCTTCTTTATTCCCTGTAAAGCCTATCGATGATAAAAGTGAAAGGTTTAAAAGGTCATATCCCCTTCTCCTAATACCTTGTGCAGGTCTGACAGCTGCTGATGTTTGATGAGAACTTCTTTATTGGGAAACTGCCTCCTGCAGAGCAGACAAGCCAGTTTATTCCAGTCAGTGAGTCTGTCTTCTTCATTTTCCTTCTTGGTCAGCTCCTCCCGCTGCTGGGGCTGTACTGTACGGGGCTGTGGGGGAGGGGTCTGTTCCTCCTCTTCTTCCTCTTCATAGTCACTGTCTCCTCCATATTCACCCAGGAGGCCAATCAACGGGTTTACCACTTTAGGCTGGAAGGAGAAAGCCAGGAATCAACACCAAATTCAACCTGTATTTTGGGGCCTGTTTTTTGGATATTCTGATACAGGTATCTCCTTTCTTTGTTCTCTTTTAGTTGGGATAAGGAATTGGGTTCATTATTCCACCATGGGCCCACTGACCATGCTGCTCATTTCTCAGATAGAATAAACATGACTAGAGCTTGACTCTGCTTCCTGCTCATTGAGATAAACCTGAGCAGTTCCCTTAGAAGTGACTCTAGGAACAGAATGTGAGAAGGAAGAGAAAAGAGGAATTCACAGAAAATGGCAAAAGAGTTAAAAAGTTACAAGTCACAAAGAGGAAGAGATGAATACCTCCAAGTCACTGTAACCAATGGAGGAAAGGAAAGATGAATTTCATCAAAGCTATAACAAATGGGATTTAGGAGGTAAACTAAAAGCAACCACAGTGATAAGCAGTCAGGGAGATAGATCCAGTTCCTGAGTGAGGTAAGGACAAAGGCATGGTTAGGAGAGATGCTACAATGAGCTGAATCATAATGTGGAGCAGGCAAAGAGTACCTTGTGGGAATTGTTAAATAATAACGCATGGTCACTGGTTCTATGATCAATCAAAACAAAAAATAAAGTATAGCCATATTGTTATATATTTGTATTGAATCAGAATTGCTAGGATTAGATTGAGATTGTAACTTTGAAGTGTCTAAAAAATAGGTGCCAATATTAGCATCATTCACTCTGGCCAGGCAGAAATTATAATAATGACCATGCATGCAGTCTCTATCTAAGAGATTGTTATGTGGCACCAAAAGGCAGGAAACACCAAGGCCAGGAAAATGAGTTTCCTTGGTAATTTAGAGAAGAATTGACAAGAATAAGATCATAAAAAGGGCCAGGCATCTCTTGGTCTGGTGGAATGGCACAGGGTAGAGAGAGAGAGCAGGTAACTGCCTCTGATTCTTTAGTAATAACCCTATTACCAGACAGGAAAATTTGCATTATGCTTGTACTCAAGAGGAATCCTTATTTGGGAGACACAGAGAGCTAAAGGACCAATGCTAAAGTGAGGCATTTGCCTTTTAGCTTCCTTTCCCACCCAGAACCAGCTCCACCCCTAGCACAGGGGATCAGTGTTAGCCTTACTGGAGGGGGACTCTCTTCCTTCTTCACAGTAGGAGGCAGGGGCTTCTTAAAGACGTCCTCTGGGGGGGCCTTTCCTTCACTGGTATTTTCCTGAAACTGATCAAACCAAGAGATAATTCTTATAAGATACTCACTCATAAAAACTGGGTTAAGAATTAACTCTTGAAATTAGGCTGATTTTCCAAACTTCCTAATTTGTGAAATATCTGTGATGTTGCTATAGTGAATTTAAAATAAAGAGCCATTAAAAACATAGTATTCAGTATACATTGCATGCTTACTGTATGTCAGGTACCAGATGAGGCATTATCTTCTTCAGACTTTACTACAATCTTCCTAGATAGACAATAATAACTTCGCTTTACAAATGATTGGGAATATGGTTAGAAAGATTAAATGGTAGAAATAGAAACCGGATATTAAGTCAGTATGACTCTAACGTCTACATTCTTAGACAAACACACTCTGTTTCCTTGCTTTTCCTGCATCTCTAGATAAACAACTAATATTATTACAAAGAAGAATAAGATATGAATTGAACCACAAGCAAATTCATCTATTTTCACTAATGTACAACTGGTATCAGGGTAAATCAACGTAATTCTTTAGAAAATAATTTGATTTTATATTAAACGCAAAAATTTTCATCATCTTTGATTCTGAAAATTTACTCTAACGAAGTAATTTAAATGGAGAAACAAATAAAATGCTAAATGCTGCATATTATGACAGTGTAAGATTAGAAAGAGGAGACAAACAATGCAGAAGTAATGAAGAAAATAGGGCATATACTTTTTTTAAAAATTATTACCAGTACATAATAGTTGTATATCTTTATAGGGTACATGTGATGTTTTGATATGGGCATACAATGTGAATTAATCAAACCAGGGGAATCAGGATATCCATCACCTCAGGCATTTATCATTCCTTTGTGTTAAGAACATTCCAATTTGGGCTGGGCATGGTGGCTCATGCCTGTAATCCTAGCACTCAGGGGGGGTGAGGCAGGAGGATCCCTTGAGGTCAGAAGTTTGAGACGAGTCTCAGCAAGAGTGAGACCCGTCTCTACTAAAAACAGAAAGAAATTGGCCTGGCTACTTAAATAGAAAAAAAAAATTAGCCAGGCACGGTGGCACATGCCTGTAGTCCCAGCTACTTGGGAGGAGGTAGGAGGATTGCTTGAGCCCAGTAGTCTGAGGCTGCTGTGAGCTAGGCTGACACCACGGCACTGTAGCCCAGACAACAGAGTGATACTCTGTCTCAAAAACAATAAAGAAAACCAAATCAAAAAAAAAAAAAAGCCATTCTAATTCCACTCTTCTAATTATCTTAATGTACATCCTAACTTATTGTTGATTATAGTCATGTTGTTATGCTATCAAATATTGTTCATTCCATCTAACTATTTAACTGCATTTTTGTACCCATTAACCACCCCCACTTTATCTCCCACTCCCCATTACCTTTCCCAGCCTCTAGTAACCATCATTCAATTCTCTGTCTCCATGAGATCAATTGTTTTTAATATTTAGCTCCTACATATGAGTGAGAACATGTGAGATTTGTCTTTCTGTGCTTGGCTTATTTCACTTAACATAATTTTCTCTAGTTCTACCCATGTTGTTGCCAATGGCAGTATTTCATTCTTTCTCATGGCTATATAGTATTCCATTGGGTATAAGTACCACAATTTCTTTAACCATTCACCCATTGATGGACACTTAGGTTTATTCCAAATCTTGGCTATTCTGAGTAGAGCTGCAATAAACATGGGAGTGCAGATCTTTTTAATATACCAAATTCCCTTCCTTTGGATATATACCCAGCAGTGGGATTGCTGGGTCATATGGTAATTCTATTTTTAGTTTTTTTTTTTTTTTGAGACAGAGTCTGGCTCTGTTGCCCTGGCTAGAGTGCCGTGGCATCAGCCTAGCTCACAGCAACCTCAAACTCCTGGGCTCAAAGCAATCCTCCTGGCTCAGCCTCCCGAGTAGCTGGGACTACAGGCATGCACCACCATGCCTGGCTAATTTTTTCTATATATATTTTTAGTTGTTCAGATAATTTCTTTGTACTTTTAGTAGAGACGGGGTCTCGCTCTTGCTCAGGCTGGTCTCGAACTCCTGAGCTCAGAATGATCCGCCCGCCTCGGCCTCCCAGAATGCTAGGATTACAGGCGTGAGCCACTGTGCCTGGCCTTCTATTTTTAGTTTTTTGAGGAGCCTCCATACTGTTCTCCTTAGTAGTTGCTAGGGCATATACTTTTACTGTGAATTTTTATGATATAGGCATGAAAAACAATAAATATTATAGAAACATGGAAAAGTATTTATGATAAAATGAAAAGTGATAAAACAGTATCCCTTGCTACAATTACAACTAGAGAAATGTGTATAGAGAGTCAAACACTAAAAAGGGAATGTAAAAAAGTGAAAATGTGTGGAGCTGAAGTGTTGGGATTTGAGCTGAGTCATTTAGTTCTATATCCATAGTTTTCCCATTTGTAAAAGGGAGAGAGTTGCATGGGGCCATAAGAGGCACGGGGGCTGCATACATCAGGTAATTGGAGTAATTTTAAAGTAATACCTCAGGCTGGGCATGGTGGCTCACGCCTATAATCCTAGCACTCTGGAAGGCTGAGGTGGGAGGATTGCTTGAGCTCAGTAGGTCCCGACCAGCCTGAGCAAGAGCAAGACCCTGTCTCTACTAAAAATAGAAGAAATTAGCCAGGCGTGGTGGTGTATGCCTGTAGCCCCAGCTACTTGGGAAGCTGAGGCCGGAGGATCCCTTGGGGCCAGGAGTTCGAGGTTGCTATGAGCTAGGCTGACACCATGGCATTCACCTGGGCAAAAGTGAGACTCTGTCTAAAAAAAAAAAAAAAAATTTATTTACTTATTCATTAATTATTTCAATTTGGGCTGGGCATGGTGACTCACACCTGTAATCCTAGCACTCAGGGAGGGTGAAGCGGGAGGACTGCTTAAGGTCAGAAGTTTGACCAATAAATAAATAAAGTAATACCTCAAACCTAGATATCCTCTGTCCGTGACTCCTATATTTTAATCTGTAATTATGTGGTAAAGACAGCAGACACACGAGTTCTCTTACCCTTGTCATTCCTCTGTCTTTTTTCTCCTTGCCATCTCTTTTAGATGTATCTTTTTTGCTACTTGACTTTCCTTGACTGGTAGATTTCTTTTCCTTGATCTCTTCTTCCTCAGGTGACCCAGGGTCCTGGGGTACATAGACTTCTTGCTGTGATATAGTTGGAAACAGATAAGTCTGCAGAATGTTTCACTTTCCCAGCAATTCCAGGTCTAAGGAGCATAGTTCCCTTAGGCTCTTTTACTCACAAGCCTAAGAGTCCATATCAATCCAAAATCCCATTCCTGGGGCCAGGACACATCCAGACCACCCACTGTACACTTTTCCAAGAGCAGCATTGTTCTCACTTGTAATGCCACCAAGGCACTGATTTTCCATATAGGCAAGAGTTCAGATTCCATAGATTTAAACTTTTTTACTTTTCATGCAATGAACAGCCAGAAAATCCAGGGAATAAAATCCTCAAAGTAACAAATTACGGGTGCTTTTCTCAAAAAGATCATTGACAGAGTAAACAAAGTCGAAAACTCACCTGGGTATTGGGGTCATAATAAGTCCCTGCCAAGGGGTCATAATAGTAGCCAGTGGCAGAATCATATATGTAGCAGTCAGATGATGCTAAAGGGAATAAAATTAGAGCCAATATTAGTTCCTGTCCAATGAAACTCCTATTGGGGACTCACCAAGATCAACCGAAAAGTTAGGGTGGCCAAGCCAAACAGGCTATAGACGGTGCTCACTCTGGATGAGCACCCCCAGGCAGCAGTATCTCTTGCCAACTTTATGACCACACAGATTTCAAGCAATGAGTAGCAAGTCAACAAAAATGAACAATAGAAATAAAACAAAGATTACTTACACTGTTGCCCTTGTCGATTTGTATCTGAAGGCCATTCTGAATTTCTGCCACTTCCCCTCCTATCTCGGAAATATTTTTTACCCTATCATAGAAAGGCAAGTTAAAATTATACAGTTAGCTGATAGCCATTCACCTAACAGTCACCCACTGGAGGAAATTCAAGATCACCCTTTCAGACACCTGAGAATTTTAAGAGTGCACTCCCCATGTATTAGAGCCTACCTGATAGTAATGCATGTGGTCAGAATGGTCCCCAGAATCATTTCTGCAATAAATAACAGAGCATATTATAAGTCTGTTACCAAAAGGCACTTGAGGCATGTTTAATCCTATAGACCCTACTGAGAAACTCTCCTTTCCCTATTTTGTAGGGAAAGGAACCAACCCAGACAGTAAGCAGGTTGGGTGGTCCAGATACTCCAGAGGGGAGGAGCAGTAGGACTCCTAAAAAGCCATCTGATGGAGCAAAACAACTATTAAACAAAAGGTGCTAGAGCAAGATCTGCCCCATATCTGTAAGTCTGTCTTTCTGATGCAGCCACTACTACCACTCCTGGGTCAAGATTGAGTGAAGGAGTAAAAGGAATTAGATTTCCCAGTGCTATGGGGATATGATTAAGGTCAGGGGAACAAAAAGTCAGCACAGCATTTTCTTAGGATTCCAAGGGATAAGGATGTCTGTAGGTTTTTCTACTCATCCAAGACTGTACCATCACTAAAAAAAAAAAAAAAAAAAAAGATGTGGTCTCGCTATGTTGTCCAGGTTGCAGTGCAGTGGATATTTTTTTTTTTTTTGAGACAGAGTCTCACTGCGTTGCCCGGGCTAGAGTGCCGTGGCGTCAGCCTAGCTCACAGCAACCTCAAACTCCTGGGCTCAAGCGATCCTCCTGCCTCAGCCTCCCGAGTAGCTGGGACTACAGGCATGCACCACCATGGCCAGCTAATTTTTTTCTATATAATTTTAGCTGTCCAGTTAATTTCTTTCTAATTTTAGTAGAGACGGGGTCTCGCTCTTGCTCAGGCTGGTCTTGAACTCCTGAGCTCAAACAATCCGCCCGCCTCGGCCACACAGAGAGCTAGGATTACAGGTGTGAGCCACCACGCCTGGCCTCAGTGCAGTGGATATTTACATACTACATGCAATAATCACACACTACAGCCTTGAATTCTTGACCTCGTGTGATCCTCAGTGATCCTCGAGTGATGCCTCAGCCTCCTGGGTAGCTGGGACTACAGGTGTCATACCCATGGGCTCAGCTATTTGGGACCCAAACATACCAAGGAGTCAAAAGGGAAAGGAATATAGTAACTAGTACTATTATTTAAGAAAGAAAACAATTCTAGAGCCAGAACAAGGCATGCTTCATTAAAATAAAATATATAAGCACATACCCGAAGCATACTGGGAAGGCATCACGCCTATTACGTCATTAAATATGATTTTTTTTTTTTTTTGAGAGAGAGATAGATTCTCACTCTGTCGCCTAGGCTAGAGTGCCGTGGCATCAGCCTCACTCATAGCAACCTCAAACTCCTGGGCTCAAGTGATCCTCCTGCCCCAGCCTCCCAAGTAGCTGGGAATACAGGCGTGCACTACCACACCTGGCTAAGTTTTACTGTTTTTAGTGGAGACAGGGTCTCACTCTTGCTCAGGCTGGTCTCGAACTCTTGACCTCAAGCGAGCCTCCTCCTTGGCCTCTCAGAGTGCTAGGATTACAGGCGAGAGCCACTGCGCCTGGCTGAAATGTCTGATTTTGAATCAAAAGTTTAGTTTACTGTATCTCAATCAAGAAGCAGCACAATTAATCAAACTATGTGACTAAACCATTGACACAGTTTTGCCATCTTAACAGTAGATTGTTTATGCCAGCAGTGAAGAAGCCTGGAGAGCGAGTGGTGATGAAATTGTGAAAGGTATTTTCCACAGCTTGTTGAGAATTGAATATTATTCCTTGCAAGAAGTGGCCCAAAGCCTGGAAGAAGTGATAGTCAGTTGGTGCAAGATCTGGTGAATACAGAAGATGACAGAGAGTTTCCAAATCCAGTTTCTGTAGTTTGAGCAGTGCTGTTTTTTATGACATGTGGTCTTGAAAAAGGATAGGCCTGTCTCTATTGATCAATCTCAGGTGCTTAACTGCAAGCATCCTCATCATTTCATCTAGTTGGTTGCCGCAGACATATGCTGTAATCAACTGACCAGGTTTCATGAAGCTGTAGTGGATAATACCAGTGCTAGACCACCAAACAGACACCATTAGCTTTTTTTTGATGAATATTCAGTTTTGGACTGTGTTTCAGCACTTCATTTTTATCCAAACATTATGCTGAATGCTTACAATTGTCAGGAAGAATCCATTTTTCATCACGTGTAAAAATATGGTGTAGAAATGGTTCACCTTTATGTCGTGACAACAAAGAAAGGCAAGCTTTGAGATGATTTCTCTTCTGATGTTCGTTTAATTCAAGTGGTACCCAACTATCCAGCTTCTTTACTTTGCCCATTTGTTTCAAATAGGCCAATATTGTTGAAATAGTAATGGCACACCTTGCCGCTAAATCATTCACATGTAGGTCATGATGGATTTGCTTCAACTATAGCTTTTCAGCTCATGATTATCCACCTTGGTCTCAGGTCACCCACAGGGCTCATTTTCAAGATTAAAATCACCAGAATGGAACTTCTTAAACCATTGACATACTGTGCATTCACCAGCCACATGCTTCCCAAACATTTCATTGATATTTCAACCTGTCTGTGCTGCACTGGTTCCATGATGGAACTCATATTCAAAAATAACATAAACTTTTTAACTTATCCATCGTTTCACAAAAATTGCTCTAAAAAAACCCTGAAAGACAATCACAAGCCAAGATGTGTGTTTGAAGGATGTACCTTCAAGATAAAAAAAAAAAAGTGTCAAAGTGAAATGTCAGAGATATCAACTGTCAAACTTAGTACTTACGGAAATCGGACATTCCATACGTAGCCTAATATCTGTCTGTCCAGCCACGAAAAGTGCCTTACCTTCTGTCTTAAGTGACTCAAGTGCACTCTTCTGCCTTACCTTCGTTTTCCAGTGGCCAGGTTTACAGCTACCATCTTCCCATCAATGCTAAATGGTGGATCAAGGTTCTGCAAGATCTTCACTACACGAAGAGCTTCCTACAGAACCAAACACACTTGAACTCAAAGAGAGAAAAGGCCATGTTCTCTGAACAAGAACTGAACACGGACATTCCTTCTCAGAAGAGAAATTTACTAAACATTATGTTCTGGTCATAACTTTAACAGTAAGAGCATATTGGTAAAAGCAACTTTTAATGAAAAACTGATAGGAATAGTGATCAGAGTAGATGTCAGTTTCTGGTATAAATTTTAGAAATTCCAATCCTTTTGTTTGTTTGACTGTTTGTTTGTTTTTAAGAGAAAGGGTCTCACTCTGTTGCCCTGGCTGAAGTACAGTGGGCTCATCATAGCTCACTGCAGCACTGAACTCCTGGACCGAGGGATCCTCCTGCCTCAGCCTCCTGAGTAGCTAGGACTACGGGTGTGTACCACCAAGCCTGGCTAATTTTTTAAATTTTCTTAGAGACAGGGGTCTTGCTATGTTGTCCAGGCTGCTCTTGAACTCCTGCCCTCAAGCAATCTTCTCCTTTTAGCTTCCCAAGTTGCAGGAATTACAAGTGTGAGCCACCACACCCAGCCTCAAATCCTCTTCTTTTAGGTTGTTACAACTATCATCACTAGATCGAGTTTACAAAGTTTCCTGTGACTTTTGAGCATGAAATCTAAGAAGTATCAAAGATTTTCATTACTATCATCACATTATTTCCATAGAAAAGAGCCCCACAACTAAAAATTCAAGTCATAAGAATCTATTAAATACTTGGAAGAAAAATAGAAAATGTTGTGTTATCGAATATAAAACCATCTGTGGCTGGGCAAAATAAAAAAATCAGAAAATTCACTAAAATCTTGAGGGATTCAGTACCAAGATTCTGTACAAGTAAGTCGGAAACTGTAAATGCCACAAGACAAAAATGAACCTGGAAAACCACACACAGAATCCTAACTTTCAAGGGCAGTCACCTCACCTGAATTGAACACTAAACCCAAAGGAAGAGAACAAGAGGGATTATGATACCAGGCAGCATATGAAAATTCAAATGATAAATAAGTCCCTCAAACCTTCTTGAGGGTTCTTTAGCCATCTGTCCCTAGACCATTCCCAGGAGAAGGAAACTTACCGCATGGGAGTCGAGGTCAATAAAGCCATAGGTGTGGCCCATAGGGCCTGTTCTATTCTTGATGATACGGACATTGGCAGTAGTAAGGCGAACATAGGGCTCCAGGACTTCCACTATCACTTCAGGTGGAGTGGAACGATAAATGCGTTTTAGCATGATTGCTGAATGAACCGAGCATAAATGAGAGAGAAGCAAGGAAACAGAGAGAAAGATGAATTTTTGAGGTTCCAAAAGTCCGTTTTTTTTTTTTAAGCATGAAACGAAATTTATTTAGGAAGGACAAGATAGGTTCACATAGCAAGATATGTTTGCCACAGATGATAAACAGAGTCGTCTGTTGCAACAAAAGGGTCTATTGTTTTTTTTTTACTGCAGATGCTACTCTGCTCTAGCAAGGCTAGTTCTACAAAGAAATGTTAGACAAACAATGCATACTTTTCTTTCTTTCTTTTTTATTTGAGACAGGGTGTGGCTCTGTCACCCAGGATGGAGAGCAGTGGCCTCATCACAGCACACTGCAGCCTCAAACTCCTGGGCTCAAGTGATCCTCCTGCCTCAGCCTCCCAAGTAGCTGGGACTACAGGTATGCGCCACCATACTTGGCTGATTTTTCTATTTTTTGTAGAGACAAGGTCTCGCGCTTGCTCATGCTGGTCTTGAACTCCTGGCCGAGGCAATCCTCCTGACTTAGCTCCCTAAAGGGCTAGGATTACAGGCATGAGCCACCATGCCCGGCCTGCACACTTTTTTTTATCAACTTAGAAATCTAAAATCATGCCTTACTGCCTTTGTATAGCAATTTGCTATTTAGAAGATGTAGATTCCTTCAACTAGTACAGTAAGGCCCACAGAAGAAAGCCATGGCCTCTGTGACCAGGCTGTACACAGTTCTACTAGGGTATGGGGAAGCAGCTGGCACCTAGCCATAACATGGGCCATCTATGCTTCAGCTGTGGTGGTCACAGTCTGGTATATGCCCTGACAAGCCACTTACTTTTGCTTTCTACATCCTGGCACGTCTCTCCAGACCATGGCTCCTTCTCGCGGTCTCTTCGGAAAGTGAGCCCTTCCCTTCGAGAAGGAGGCTGATACCTTTCTGCTTCTCTCTTTTGATGTCCCAAGCGTGGCTCTTGTCCTTCTTCCCTCTTCCTGGGTTCAGGTTCCTTATCAGCTGGCCTTGGGGGCTGATTGGGTTGTTTTTCCAGTGGTGCTGGTATAAATGTTTTCTGAGGCTGAGGGTAGGTTATTAATTCTTGCTTGGTCTCTGTCACTAGGGGAACAGAAACAGTAAGAATTTCTAGAAGGCTTTATTAAAAAAACACTACTTCTGTGATTCCTCTTTACTTCCCAACAAATACTTATACTGGAATGCTTTTACTATTATCTCAAAAGTATCTACAAAAAGGTCCTCTTACAAAGTTCCTGGCAAAAGCCTTTAAGCAAGGCTAATGAGACAGCATAAGAAACAGTTCACAGAACAAACTATATAAACATTTAAAGAATGTAATCTCATGAAGTTTCTATCACTTACTAAACATTTAAATGTAACAAATCTTTTAGGACACCCTGGACCTATTATAACCAATGATAAGAACATATTTGGGGATAAAATAAAGATATGGCCCTTGTTAACATGTGTCCAGGAGCCTTGCTTACTCCAGTGTTATAGTACTAAAACAGCTGTCTCAAATTCTCTAAGACCACAGGCCCTACTTCTCTGGCAAAGCTAGGAATAGACCTACCTGCATATAGCTCATTTATATGCAAATAACCACAATGGATAAATGTCCTTCAAAACATAGATGATTCACTTCAAATCTCCTTCTAGAGCAGGATAATTTATAATTCATTTTGTAATTAGGGGCATATTTTTGCAATTCATTCATTCTTGGAGGATTCACTGAAAGCCATGGGACTCAAAAACTATGATATTCTATGAGAACAATATAGAGATTACTTAATAGCAGTGACAAGTGACTATGAATACCTGCCTTATATGTTTCCAGATTAAGGTTGTCTCTTAGTGGTAGGTTACCCAAGGGTTATCATAAATCATCTATTCATTTGTTAGAATAGCTTAAGAAAAAAGTCTTTCTTGAGGTAAAAAAACACAACTTTGCCTAATCTGAAGTGATCCAAGAAGTAAAAATCTGTCGTTTACTCCCCTTCCTACATGCTGGTTTGATCTCTAAAGCATACAAAGCCTTCTCCTAAAGATTTTCAGAATACCTGCCTTACAGCCCTCACTACAAGCATATTAACAGTCATTGTTATAGGACTGTTGTTACGGATGCCTTTGATAGACTCTTCAAGGCTGTATACCTAAAGTTTCCCTATAGAAATTTACTTCAAAGTTAAGTGCTTGAGAAGCTGGTAGGTTTATTCCTCTAAAATAATAACACATTCCCTCAATCCTGACTATTTTTTCTCTTACTCATATTGTTACTGTTATTTTAACAAATATTTTTCTGTTAAAGATCCTGAAATACTTACAAAGATTGTATATGAGAAAACAATAACGTAAATGATTCCCAACAACTTCAAAGAAGTGGAGGGGGGATGGCAGGAAAGTCTATCATATAGACTAATATCATATAGACTGATGCCATAAATACTCCTTTTCAACCTAACAACCTTAAATGTATTCTAAATAATAATATTAGTGAACTCTAGTCAGCTGTCCACCTAGCCACTTCAGCCTGAGGAGCCAACGATCCAAAATCATTTAATAAGAGAGGTCACACGATATTGGACATCGAATTGCACTTTAAAAAGGTTTATAGATCAATTTGTATTTAGGGATGAAAATTCTTTAAAGCCAAGGAAAGCATAAAATTTGTTTTGCTCAGCGCACAAGATAAAAACCACTACCACTTCTACCACTCACCTTCCCGTGGGCACTTGCAGAATGAACATGACGATCGGTGCCCACCAGTGCTGGCCTTACACTGCAAGGAAAAAGGAACGAATTCAGCTTGACTGAAAACATTTCAAAAAACCTTATGTACATCCAACACAGTAACACCTACCAAAAATGAGAGAAACAAGTCATATCCTAGATTCTGTCAAAGCCTAAAAAAAGAATTTGATATCCCCACCACTCATCAGAATTGGCATATAGGATCTGATAAGCTATTGTTTGAGAGCTACCTTCTAACAGGGTATCTGGGACTTTGGAGCAGCCCCAAATGCCTTTGCCCTGGATTTTTTTTTTTGAGACAGAGTGTTGCTCTGTTGCCCAGGCTAGAGTGCCATGGCGTCAGTCTAGTTCACAGCAACCTCAAACTCCTGGGCTCAAGCAGCTACTCAGCCTCCCGAGTAGCTGGGACTACAGGCATGTGGCACCACACCTGGCTAGTTTTTTGTTTCTATTTTTAGTTGCCTAGCTAATTGTTTCTATTTTTAGTAGAGATGGGGTCTCACTCTTACTGAGGCTGGTCTTGCTCTTAGTCAGCCCGCAATGGCTTGCTTTAGGTAAAAGAGTGTGAGTAAACATAACCTGCAGCAGGTCTTAGCGTAAGCTTTAAGAGCCACTGTGGGCCTGTAATCCCAGCACTCTGGGAGGCTGAGGAAGGAGGATCACTTGAGGCGAGGTGTTCAAGACTAGCCTGGGCAACATAGTGAGACGCCATCTTTACAAAAAAAATTTTTAACAATTAGCCAGGCGTGGTAGTGCTCACCTATAGTCCCAACTACTCAGGAGACTAAGCCAGGAGGATTGCTTGAGTCCGGGAGTTGGAGGTTGCAGTGAACTGTGATTATGAGCAAGACTCTGTCTCAAGAAAGGTGGGGAATAAAAAGAGAGAGAAAGAAAGAAAAGAAGGAAACATTGCTTGTCTGAATGATCCTCTTGTTCTTTCCCTTAGCCAGGAGAACACATTCCCATATTGGAATTGTCCCTTTGGCCTGGGTCCTAGGATAAGAAGCCATGTGGAGCAGAATAGTAGCAAAAGCAGCAAAAGACCTATTTACCCCAACATATAATCTGAATGAAGGATTTGCCTGTTGTTTAAAGACACTGGGATTTGGGGGCTGTTTGCTACTATCGCAGAGCTGTTGTGCTGTATGATACTTCAGCTGATAAGTGATATTACAGAATCAGGATCCTAACCTTGGTAGGTATAATTTAAATACCATAAAACTCACTTACTTTAAGCATACAATTCAATGATTTTCAGTAAATGTACAGTGCAACCATCACCACAATCGAATTTTAGAACATGTTCATCATCCCCAAAGGAAACGTAGTAAAGTCACTTCCCATTCTTACCCTTAGGTCCATGGAATTATATAATATATGTTCTTTCATGTCTGGCATAGTGTTTTCAACATTCATCCAGGTTGTAGCATGTATTAGTAACTCATTCTTTTTTATTGCCAAATAGCATCTCATTGTATGGATATACCAATTTTGTTTGTCCATCGGCTGATGGATGTTTTGGTTGTGTCCACTTTTTGGCTATTATGAATAATATTGCTATAAAACATTTTTTTTAAAAGACTTGCTCTGTTGCCCAGGCAGGACTGCAGAGGTGTGATCATAGTTCACTATAACCTAGAATTCCTAGGTTCCAGAGATCCTCCCACCTCAGACCCCAAGTAAGTGAGACTATAGGCATGTGTTACCATGCCCACCTGTTTTTTTTTTTTTTCCTTTGGAGAGATCCGGGTGTCTTGCTATGCCTTCCAGGCTGGTCTCAAACTCCTGGCCTCAAGCAATCCTCCCATTTCATTTTAGCCCTCCAAGTTGCTGGGATTATAGGCATTAGCCACTATACCCAGCAATATTTTTTTGTTTTTTCTCAAAAAGCACCTTCCACATCAGGCCAAAGGCTATGTATGCAGGAATGACACCTATACCCTTTTGAAAAGCTCAGAAAGTGCAAAGTATTCCTGAGATAGCTGACTAAACACATGGCCTGTCATTTTAGTTAACAATATAACCAACCCATTCTATTGTTTCAAGCGACAGCCTTGGCAATAGCAGTATAATTCCGATATCAGGTATGGACAATTGTTTTCTGCTGATTAACAGAAAATATAGCTCAAAAATTTTCCCTTTAATGCTAGCTTCCTCTACCTGATTATAAAAGAAACAATATACATACATTATAGCTAATATAGAAACTATAAGAGAGAACGGGGAAATCACCCATAATCTTACAACAGAGGCAATCACTGTTAAAATATTACCAAAACTCCACTTGCCCATTTTTGCAGAAATGGAAAAGCTGATCCTAAAATTTATATAGAATTGCAAGGGACCCTGGATAACCAAAACAATCTTGAAAAAGAACAAAGTTGGAGAATTCACATTACCTGATTTGAAATCTTACTAGGAGTTATAATAATAATCAAAACAGTGTGGGACTGGCATAAGGATAAACAACAGATCAATAGAATAAAATTGAGAATCTAGGAATAAATCTATAGATTTATGATCAACTGATTTTTTTTTTTGTTTATTCTTTTATGGTTAATTGATTTCTGATAAGGATACCAATGGAAAAAGAACAATCTCCTCAACAAATGGTGCTGCAACAACTGAATATCCACATGCCAAAGAATGAAGTTGAACCCTTACCTCACACCACATAAAAAAAATTAACTCAAAATAGATCGAAGACCTAAATATATTAATATAAGAGCCAAACTCTTATAAGAAAATATAGGGGTAAATCTTCATGACCTTGAGTTTGGCAATGCTTTCTTACATATGACACCAAAAGACAAGCAACAAAGAAAAAATAGATAAATTGGATTTCATCAAAATTATAACTTTTGTGCATCAAAGATACTATCAAGAAAATGAAAGATAACACAGAAGAAGAGAAAATATTTGCAAATCATATATCTGATAAGAGATTAATATCCAGAAAATATAAAGAACCCTTAAAACTCAACAACAAAAAGACATACGACCAAATTTAAACGGGCAAAAGACTTGACTAAACATTTCTCCAAAGAAGACAAATGGCCAACAAACACATGATAAGATGCTCAAACTCATTAGATATTAGGGAAATGCAAATTGCAACCATTATGAGATATTTCACACCCACTAGGATGGCTATTATCAAACAAAAGGAAAATAATAAGTGTTGGCAGGGATGTGGAGAAATTGGAACCCTTTATACATTGCTGGTGGGAATATAAAATGGTGCAGCTACAAGCTATGAAAAACAGTTTGGTAGTTCCTCAAAGAATTAAACACAAAAGTTCCATATGGCCCAGAAATTCCTCCTGGGCACATACCTAAAAATTTGAAAACAGATGTTCAAACAAAAACTATTGGCTGGGCACAGTGGCTCACACCTGTAATCCTAGCACTTTGGGCACCCAAGATGGGAGGATCGCCTGAGCCCAGGAGTTCAGGACCAGTCTGGGCAACATAGCAAAACTGCATCTCCACAAAAAATAAGAAAAATTAGCCAAGTGAGGTGGCACACACTTGTAGTCCTAGCTACTTGGGAGGCTGAGGTGGGAGGATCGCTTGAGCCCAGGAGTTCAAGGCTGCAGTGAGCTATGATCACATCACTGTACTACCACTGTACTCCAGCTTGGGTGAGAGTAAGACCCTATCTCTTTAAAAAACAAACAAACAAAAAAACCCCAAAAAAACTTGTATACAAAGGTCCTATTATTCACAATAGTCAAGAGGCAGAAACAACCCAAACATCCATCAACTTATGAATGGATAAACAAGGCGGGCGCAGTAGCTCATGCCTGTAATCCTAGCACTCTGGGAGGCCGAGGCAGGAGGACTGCTTGAACTCAGCAGTTTGAGACCAGCCCGAGCAAGAGTGAGACCCCACCTCTACTAAAAATAGAAAAAATTAGCTGGCCATGGTGGTGAGCACCTATAGTCCCAGCTACTAGGGAGGCTGAGGCAGGAGGATTGCTTAAGCCCAGGAGTTTGAGGTTGCTGTGAGCTAGGCTGATGCAACAGCACTCTCGCCCAGGCAACAGAGCAAGACTCTGTCTCAAAAAAAAAAAAAAAAAAAGCATGGATAAACAAAATGTGGTATATCCAAATAATATCATTCTGCCATAAAAAGCAATGAGGTACTGATAAATGCTACAACATGGATGAACCTTGAAAACATGCTAGGTGAAAGAAGGCTGACATAAAAGGCTACAAATTTGGCTTCCATTTATATAAAATGTCCAGAACAGGCAAATCCACAGAGATAGAAAACAGATTAATGGTTGCCAGGAACTGGGGGAAAGGGGTATGGGGAGCGGCTAATTAATGGATATGGGGTTTCCTTTGGGAATGATTAAAAAATTATGGGCCAGGTGTGGTGGCTCATGCCTGAAATCGCAGCACTTTAGGAGGCTGAGGTGGGAGAATTGCTTGAGCTCAGGAGTTCGAAATCAGCCTGGGCAATATAACAAGACTCCGCTCTCCAAAAAAAAATAAAATAAAATTAGCCGGTATGGTGGTGCATGCCTACAGTTTTAGGCACTTGGGATGCTAAGCCAGGAGGATTGCTTGAGCCTGGGTGTTGGATGTTGCAGTGAGCTGTGATAGAGGCACCACACTCCAGCCTGGGTAACAGAGCGAGACACCATCTCCAACAAACAAACAAAAAAAGAGTTCTGGAACTAACCTGGGCACAGTGGCATGCGCCTGTAGTCCCAGCTAGTTGGGAGACTGAGGCAGGAAGAGTTTGAGATCAGCCTGGGTAACATAGTGAGAGACCCTGTCTCTAAAAAAAAAAGTTCTGGAACTAGATAGCGTTGATGGCTGCACAACATTGTGAAGGTACATAATGACACTGAATTATATATATGGTTTAAAATGGTTAAAATGGCAAATTTAATGTTATGTGTATTTTACCACAATAAAAAAAATCAAACGTTTTCCTAAAACGATAACTTAAGGAAGTATATCCATAAAACATGTGTGCTTTAGCTAATGACAATCGTAGCTATCCAAGTTGTACTTCATTGAGACTAACAAAAATGTTAAGCTGAAGTTTTTACTGAATTTTGTCAAGTTCTGTAACACTTTTAATGAATCATAGTTCAGAAACTTTACAGATTTTTCATAGCTATTTTTGAAGCCAAGTAGGAACAATGAAAACAAATTACATTTTCATGCTGACTGTAATCAAAAGGGACCTCTAAAGAGTATAGTATAAAATTTTTAAATATCCCATTCTAAAATAATATCAAGTTTAACAGAGGTAAAATGCCATGATGCTTGAGGTGCTAAGACCTTGGAAACCCAGAATATCCAAAAAATGTACAACTCCCACAGAATCAGCTTCTCTAATTCCACCTTCCCAAACACCAATCCCTTTAAGACCACCATCAGGAAAGGTAATTCAGAAGAGGTTGTAAGTCAAGAGACTGTTATTCTTTTCCTAACTGACAGAAAGCATGGCACGTGCCCTTGGGAAACTGTCTCCAACTGCAGGCCCAGAACCCTCTATGACTACATACAGCAGCTGGGAAGCAGAAAATATGGATGACCTTGTCTTAATCTCCAGTTCATCTGAAGTGAGCGGAGGAAGAGCTTTCCCCTTGGCAATGTATGTTACCAGGCAGCATTACTGGAAATATGGAGGAGCTGTTATGCTTGATGCTTACTTCTATAAAGGAATTCTCAGTACTTACTCGTTTGCAGTACCAAAAATCTGGGCTTGGTACATACTCAAGGGTAACCTCTTTTTCATGGATCATTAGAGTTCCCTGTAAAGACAAAGACAGAAGCCATCAACATAAACTGTCAGAGAAACAGAGAGAGACAGAAAGGCACAGAGAGCCTTTCCGGTCCCCAAGCTGAAACAGTTTATAAAGAGTGAGCTTATTCATCAGCAAAAGGAACTGGCTGTTTTAAGCCACAGACTTGGGGCAGTGTGGCAGAACAAACTTAAGCTTAAGGAAGGGGAGTGAAAGAAGGTGAAATCAGTCTTCGGCCTTGGCTCCTGCAGATTTGGGCGATGTCCTTGGGCAGGCTAGGCCCAGTCTGCTGATCCAGAGGTCATGTAGTGCACTCTCATGAATCCCAGCAAGGCCCCCACCTGGCTCAGGAGCTAGCACACTACCAAGAAGCAAACTCTTTTTTTGCAGCACAGAGGCATAGGAGCCCTCTCAATTATCTTCTTTCCCATGGTTAACTCACACCTCCTTGGAGAGGCAGTAAGGGCTGTATCTTTGGTGTCTGAAAATTTTCTTTGGAACTCTGGCTGCATGGCAAAAGCACCAGGGGAAAAAGGTACAACACCAAAGACAGAAAGAAGGAAGGAAGGTGAAAGCTTCACAGCAGGTTACATCCTTATAGCAGGAAACTGAATGGCTGGTGGTAGCAATAGTGGTTGTGGTGGTGGCAGAATCACTCTAGCTTGGAGCCTACAGAGTGAGCTATCCCTGAGATCTCAGGAGCAACCACTGGTAAATAAGCCTTTGGGAAAGTTTGGCACAGGAACAGGTGGGAAAATGTGCTCAACAAGCCTGTTACCGAGCTCCTTTGCCTCTCCCATTTTGGACAAGTTACGAATTCTATTTCACATCAAAAAAAGTGCTTTATTTAACAAACACTAGCCAGCAGATATGTGTTAGAGCAGAGGAAAAAAAAAATCTCTGCCTACTGACAAGGGACTCTCACCCACACTTGTAAATGAACTAACCAAGGATGTGACTCTGGAACTAGCCCCTGCACTGTGTTCATTCTCTGCCCTCTAGGGTCCTCTGTGTCTCCTCAGACTGGGCTCTGAGTTATACAAGTCATTTCTTTGCAATTGGACCTCAGTTTCTTGCTTGAATCCATACATCTGTTAAATAATGCTTTACCTCTCTGCTTTTCAAACCAAAAAAGTCAAGAGAAATACATAGAATAAAATTATTGTCTTGTCAAACCCAAAAGAAAACTGCCCACCTACCTAGGTCTTAGTATCTGATCTTTGAGAAACTGTTTCCTGGCTTGTTCTCAAGGCTAATAAGGGCAATGATAAAAATTGCTAACATTAAGCACTTACTCAGAGCCAGAAACTGCTAAGTATGTTACCTTATTAATCCCCTAAATGACCCCATGAAGTAACATTATCTCCACTTTACAGAAGAAGAGACATGCTCAGAGAGGTGGGGTCACCTAGCTGGTGAAGAGCAGAACTGGGCTAACATCTGGGGCTGTAGAGAAGGGACCTCCTGTCTCGTTTACCAACTCTTGCTCAGTCTTAGGGATAGGCAATTTGGCCTCAGGGGCCAAACAGGAAAGAGATAAGCTCTGTAGGCAGGGAGGATCAGGGAAGCACCACTCTGCTAAGCTGTACCAATGCAGGAAGTTAGTCAAGGTAAACCCCTTCCAAGCCCAGAGGCAGTATGTCACATCATTTAAGAGCATGAACTCTGGGCCAGGTTCCCTAAATTTGAAGCCTGCCTCCATTCCATGACCTTCACCATGGAAAACAGTGAGGGCTCAATAAAATGTTGATTATTTCAAGCCCTAAGTGCTGGGAAAAAAAAAAAAAAAAAGGACCAGCATCAGGAGGTGAGACTAGAAAGGATAAAATAGCCCCTCACTTCACATCACTTGCTTGCCAAGCAGGAACATTTCACAACCAATTTCAATCACCTGAAAGACTAAGATTTCTTAGGGAATGGTCACTACCCATCAGACAGCACTTTGTGTTAATTGTCAAATTACTAGTTTAGATCTTAGAGTCCAGGCTAAATCTTGCTGGCCTTTTATTATCAGCACAATGTCTGGTACAAAAAAGGAGCTTAATAAGCTCATGTTGAATAAAAAGATTGAATGAATGAGAGACTGAATAGAGCCAACTATCCCTGGAAGACAGGAATGCTTAGCACACAGCGGCTCTGGAGGGAGATCCTGCTGTCAAAGCATACATCTGTATATCCGATCCATTAAACATGTAGGTGGCCATTTTGAAGAGCAGCCACCAGAACAAGGCACCACTGTCAATTTCAGTCAACTGCACACTCTGATTCCAGCACTTGGAGGCATTAGTAGATTCACGAATTTCTAAGTGCTTTATACTTCTCAAACAACAAATATGCTGTTCTAGTAGCTGTAGATGACCTTTTATCTAGGCTAGGGCCCCAGGAGGCCCTATTAGCATGTCATTTTAAGATTACCTTTATCTTATGTGTTAAAAGGCAATGATTTCTTATTCTCACAGAGTCTCCTACAACTCAAGCAGCCTTGGTTTTATTTAACCTGCACATGGCTAGACATAAGGCTGTCAGCAACCACTGCTGAAGAGTATTAAACGGTTTTAACATCATTGTTGAAGGATAGCCAATTGTTTTAATAAGAAATAGTCACAGGAAAAACCTGAATGAGAACAATCAGGTTTATTTATGATTTGACTCTCCAGTCACTGTCATACACAGGTAGCCCAGATATACCATGCACAAACATGACATATATATACTGCACCCCTCCCCATCACTGCCAAGCCCTTCTTCCAGATTTCATAAAGCAGAGATCTGCCAATATCTCCTAGGGAAGTAACCTGTGGGGCGTTGGATTAATTAGTGGGTAAGATGATGAAATCATTTCTAGTGAATGTCCACTGTTAATTGTCTATTATCTACCATCTTCCCACATTACAATTTTTATCCATCATTTGAATTATTGGGTTATTAAGCTACTCGAGCAAAGGTACCATGAAAGCCATGAGTGTCAGCTGGGTGCAGTAGCTCACGCCTGTAATCCTAGCACTCTGGGAGGCCAAGGTGGGAGGATTGCTTGAGCTTGGGAGTTCGAGACCAGCCTGAGCAAGAGTGAGACCCTGTGTCTACTAAAAAAAAAAAAAAAAAAAAAAAAAATTAGCCAGGCATTGTGGTGTGCGCCTATAGTCCCCAGCTACTCGGGAGGCTGAGGCAGGATTGCTTGAGCCCAGGAGTTTGAGGTTGCTGTGAGCTAGGCTGACACCATGGCACTCTATTCAGGGCAATGGAGTGAGACTCTATCTCAAAAATAACATAACATAAAATAAAAATTGGCAAAAAAAAGCCATGAGTGGGATTAACCAGGTCTGGCTCCTAAAGTGGCACCATATATTTGAAAATAAAACCAAAGACACCTCCTCCTTTCTCAGCAGTGTTAGAGTAGGCTTAAATTAGACCAAAACCTGCTAAAATCCTCTTAAGCTCAAAGCCCTCACTTGGCAAAGTTACACACAGGTCTAAGTACATTTCAAGGGGTCCTAATGTGCAGCTGCAAAAAGCTATAGATATTTGTGTCTCAGAATGGCAGAGCAAGTCCTTACTCTCCACACCTCAGGGATGCTACAAAGAAGCAAACTCTGGGTCTAGGGGCTGCTGAATTCAACATTTACATTCCCATTTCCTTTTTCATTAGCTGCTCTTAAGAGACTTCACAACTTCATTTTGTGACTGCCAGCCTATGAGGACAACTTGGGTCAGAGAGTTGAGATTCTACCATATGCACCAGTTGGATCATAACCAACCCTCAAGAATTTTTAAGGTACTGGGAGGTACAAGAGAAAATGGAAAGGAAAGAACATTTCTGGCCAGCAGCTTTGCACCTTTGTTAAAGATATTCAATACAAGCTCAGTCACAGCTATACTTTGTACTGAGAAAACAACTGCTGTATGACATAATAGATCTTCCCATTAAAGCACACAGTCAGTCAGTCAGACAGGATCAAAAGGCAGGGGGAAAGAAAGTATGTGAGCCTTGTGAATAGAACTCACGCTGAAAAATCAGCAATCACTCTTTGTTGATTTGTGTTTCTTCCAAACACAGGATAGAAGAATCAGGTTATTGGTAGCTGAGAAGTGGTAGTGTTTATCAGCGATAATCTTAATTCATAAAGCTATTTACAGTTTATGAAAGCATTCTTCACAAATGCCATCTCATTAGATTCTCACAAGTAGGGCATATGTAAAATCTATTTATATATGTATGGTTGAGATACACGGAATAGCCTGCCCAAGACTACAGAGCTAGTTAGCAACATATACAGTACGAAAAATCAGGTTTTCTTTTCAACATACTGCCCTTCTTTGTTTTTAAATTCCACAGAGTCAGTCAATTTATCATACTTGCCACACCAGAGAGGTAATTTCTGATGAAAAGATGTACAAGGTAAAGACTACAGAAATTCACAGGCAATGGTTTTTATAGAGACCGCCATAGATGCCTCACTTCTTGATAGCACTGCCAGTCCCCTAAACTGGCCTGCCCAAGGTGGTCTTTCTGTTCTTAAAGCACCTACAGTTACTTTAGATGCTACGCCTAAGATAAAGAAGGTTGCTAGTAAATGGCTACTACCAGGAGTTTCAAGAACCATGACAGACCAATGGACCTGCAGAAAGAGCAAAGCAAGAGGAACAAAAATAACAGGTTTAAAACAGGTGTATGTCATCTCTCTTAGTATAAAGAGTACTTGTTACAAAAATCTTTTGTAAAGCAGCCAAGTTCATTCTTTATAGTGCAAGGATATATTATAGTTCAAATACTTTGTAAAGTTCACTATTCCCAAAGGCCAAAGCTAAAAAATGAGATAGAAAGAGGAAAGCAGGAGAGGGATGAAGGAAGAACATAGAGGCCAGAAATCCTGAGGGAAGCTCAAAGAATGCCCTATGGCAGCTCTGTAGCTCTGTCCATTGACCTTCTCCATGCCCTCTACTTTGACCAGCCTTTTACTGAACAGAGTCTGAGCTGCCCTTTGATCATCCAGGAGACGAGGTCACCATAG